TATTTTCCGGGGACCCCAATAGAGATGTGGCTGCAGCCTTCTGCCGCCTGGGGCGATCACATTCGATCACATTGCCCTTTGCCTCTGCGCGTGTGCATCACTGACGATCACCCATCCCTGGCTTTAGAACTGCAGGATTCCAGAGTGATCTCATGTCACGAGAAGGGAATATGTTGATGGGATGTTCATTGATAGCTATATGGGTACATAATTAACTACCCTGCATGCTCAATATTGTTTATATAGTATGTATAACATATAAAATAGTATAATAGTATAATAGTATAACAGTATAATAGGATAACAGGATAATAGTAGTACAACAGGATAACAGTATAATAGGATAACAGTATAACAGTATAATAGGATAATAGGATAATAGGACAATAGATAGCAGTATAATATGATAATAGTATAGTTAATAGTATAATATAGTATAATATAGTATAATATACAATAATATACAATAATTCATACATATTAATATAGGCTCGGCAGGATCCGATCAAGGGAAAAGGGGTGTGGAACATGCGGCACGCGGAGCAGCAAGGGGTCTGTCACCCCGTTCATGCAGGATTAAATAGTCTGTACAATTTATACGGTTGGTTGTTTTCTGAATCATTTTCATCTACCAATCATAATCATCTTACACCTATTATTTGTACGATTTGTACGATTTCTACGATTTCTACGATTTCTACGATTTCTACTATATGTGTGTGCTAAGTCCTACCTCTCCCGGTATAGTGTTTTTATTCTCTAGCCGCCAAATGTCCAGATTCGATTAATTAATTAATTAGTCAAGTGGAGTAAATAATGACTAGAACTAGGATCAAAACTATTAAAAATCTTTTAAATTTGAATTCCTGATCAGATCAAAATTCGCCGAATCATTGATTCTTAGCGTTAAATAGTTTCTGGTTGATTACGGAGATTATTCGGGGGGAATTCTCCTAGTCTCAACGTTTAAAACACACATGACAATATCTAGTTAACTATAGTTTCTATAGTTAACTAGTCTCTACTTCATACTGTATAGTCTATAGTCTATAGACCCTTCAACCCCCGAAATTGGCTTAGCAAGATCGGCAATTCTGCGAACCCTTCAGAGGGATATTTGGGATGAACCTCCTTTAACCGTAAAGGGGGAGGTCCGAGTCCACTAGGGGCGTGATTGGGCTTATATCACATCTTCCTTCATCACGGCCTAGGTTGATCTACGGTTTAAACGTGATGGCCTGCATCGCCAAGTTCTAATCTTGAGCTAGCCAAGTTTCCAATCTGTCCTCGTATACTCCGTAGGATCGAGTCTATGTTGTAGGCTACACAGCTTCTTCCCATGTGGTGAGCTGGCTGGTTCCTAAATCTCGGATTCATATGGACATCGACACTGAAGTAAAAAAAAAAAGAAATCTCCGAACACAAATTTGTGGTATCTCTGCAATATAGACATCTATTCTACAGTAAATGCTTCCTTCCCCCTATCTCCCGGATCCCTTAGCGTCTCTTCGACGGCCGAGCATTCTTATCGCGACGCTGTTGCACCTGGTTCCGCGCTTTCCGAATATCCTCCGTAGACCGAAGTTCGCTCTTTCCACCATATGCCGCTCCACCCAGCTTATCGTGCTGACGTTCGCGAGCCGCATCGTTCTTTTTCTTCATCTTGTCGTAGTCCCCACGTAGAGGATCAGCACGCTTAGGCGCCCGGTCTTGGTTGTGTCGGAAGCGTCCACTGCTCATGCGAGAGTTGATGTTGTTCATAGCAGGCGTCTCGGCTTCACCAACACGAGGCATTCGCTCAACGCGCTTGCCCTTCTTCCAGGCTTGGAAGCGACCGCTGCGGAAACTGGCGGCGATCTTGGCACCACTCTCACCGCGCACGAGTCGGCCGCCCTTGGAACCGTCCTCGTCGTTCTGGCGGGCAACGTACTTCTTGTGTCGCTTGTCCCAACGCATGATGGAACGCGCTTCGCCGAAACCACGCTTGCCTTCGTCGCCGTTGAGGTCCATGGTCGCGTTGCGGGAGTCGCTAGCAAAGTTCGAGTTTGTACCCGAGTGCACACCGTAAGCCTTGTCTTCGGCCATGTCGTTGTGTTGAGGTGTGTAGCCCATGAAATAATCGGGGTTCTGGAATGCTGCCGCTGCGTCCTTCTTCTCTCCTTGCTTGGACTTGGAGTTGTACGCAGAGAAAGTGACCTCGAGCTCATCGTCGGATGCCTCTGACATGTTCTCGCCGGCTTGCTCGGGAATATCCTCGTCCTGCACGACACCATCCTCGCCGGGAGTGGGCATTCCAAGTGCTGCCAACTCGGCCTCTGCCTTGAGATCCGCCCGCTTTCTCTTGTTCTCGACAGTAGTGCGGATTCGGCGAATGGTGTCAACGGCCTCGTTGTCAGCCACCTTGCCGCCTCGTCGATTGTTCGCCTCGAAAATCGTTTCATGGGGCCGGTAACCACCAATGCGGGCAAGCATACTCTCTCGCTCTACCTCCCTCTCACTGGTTGCATCGTTGAAGAGCGGGTGGATCTCAGCCCAGTGATCAGAAGAAACAACCTCCTTCGACCGCTTTGCACTCTCGGCGGAAGCCGAATTGCGGGTGCGCAGATACAATTTCTCTCCTTTTTGGGACACTTGCTTCTGCCCGTAAATATCTACATCATCATCGAGCACCTTCTGTACCCATTCGCAAGTGCGAGAGACTGGCTCTCTTGGCAGCGTTCCCACGACAACATCCTCTGCAAAGTTGAGTTCGGTGCCGTATTGACGACCGAGTACCAACCTGCGTCCCAAGAACAGCTGGAGATCCAGAAGATAGGGGGCATCTTTGTCGCGAACAAGACTGTAACTCCAACCCTTTTGGCCTGCACGGGCAGTACGACCGACACGGTGAATGAAGATCTTGGGCTGTGAGGGGAAGTCGTAGTTGATAACGTTGGCAAGAACAGGAATATCAATACCTCTGGCGGCCACATCGGTGACGACCAGGATATTTGAGATGCCGGATCGGAAGTTTTGGACATGGTGATTACGAGCAGTCTGATCTAGGGAACCGTAGGCGTAGGAGGTGGCAAACCCTGCCTCAACGAGAAGAGCATAGAGGTAGTCGACGTGGTGCTTGGTTGCAGCGAACACGATGGTTGAATGCGCGGTAGGCGACTCCTTGAAGCCGCTTGGGAGGCGGACATCCGATCTCTTGCGCTTTCTTGTGGGGTTTTCGGCTTCTTGGCGTAATCTTCCGCCAATATATGTCTCACCAGTAGGCATCTTGATAATGTTGTGCAGAATGTGTAGTAGGGCACCTTCTTTGTCTGATGACTTGATAGCAAAGAAGGCATTTTGTAGATCGGGAGAGACTTTGTTTTCCGTGTCCAGACGAATCAGACTTGGCTCTTGTAGACCAGCGCGTGCAAATTCGACAAGTGACTTGGGCAACGTAGCGGAGAATAGAAGAGTCTGGCGGTTGGTAGGTAGGCCGTGCAAAATCTCGGTCAACTGTGCGGCGAAACCCATTTCGAACAGTCTGTCGGCTTCATCAAAGACAACATACTTGATGCTAGAGAGATCCATGTCCATCTCAACCTTCAAGTGCAGGAATCGACCGGGTGTCGCGATAATGATATCGGGGTTGTTGGCCATCATGCCGAACTGATCTTCCAGACTGTCACCACCAATGAGAAGCACTGATGTCAAATTCGTTCCCTTGCCCATCTCCTTGACGACCTTCATGGTTTGCAAAGCCAATTCACGGGATGGGGACATGATGAGAGCACGTGCACCGAACGCGGTGCTGTGGCTCTTCAACTTCTCTATCATAGGAATAACGAACGAGGCAGTCTTTCCGGAACCAGTTCGAGCCATACCAACAACATCCTTGTCGTCCATGATCACGGGAATAGTCTTTCGCTGAATCGGGGTAGGTACGGAAAATCCTTTGCGGGTAATCGCTTTCAGTAGAGTCATACTGAGACCCATTGCCTGGAAACCACCTCCCTTCTTCACCGTACGGCCCTTGAGGTTCGCGCCCTTTCGGTTGGCGGTAGCCTGAGAGTTCGCAATGAAAGCTGCATCGCCGTCGTCTTCGTTTAAAAAGTCAAGATCTTCGTTGGTATCGGGCTTCTGGGAATTTTTCTTGAGGGGTGGCTTTGCGCCACCATCGGAATCGCTGTCATTTTCAAAAAGGGATTTCGTAATGTCGAACTCGACCTCCGACTCCGCGGGAGAGGCGGCACGGCGAGGCATGGTTGCGGTATGCTGTGTCGACTGATATGGAAATGCAGTGATAAGCGTTAAACCGCTCGGCTCTTCAATGGCCGGGGGAATATGAAAACACAGAAGAGTTTACAGTGATTGAATACTGTATCACGAAAACAAATCCTCGACTGCTCAAACTTCAGACACCTGAAGAAAACTCGAGTCACTTATCTCGCCGTCTTTCTGTCGCAAAAAAAAAAGTTGAAGAACGGTAGGCGGTGAACAGCGGATCAACCATCACCCGTGTGCAAATTGAGCAAACAGAATCTATACAATTTGTGCTGAAGCTAGGAATATCATCGTAGAAACATTGACATATTTCGAGGTTAAAAGATTCAGGGAGAAAATATACTATTCATATAATACTTCTAGACAGAATATGTACCCCAATGTACCTCAATGTACCCGAATTACGGCTCAAAACCTTCAGCAGCTACTTAATGCGCAGTTCAGCTGGAGTAAGACACATTGGGCCTGTCATTTTCATATCCCAAAGTAGCGGCCACTTTCGAAATAAAAAACAATCGCAATTTGAGAGAAATTGATTAGTATAATGTAAAAATAGCATATATCAATGTTGAAGTTGAGAACGCAGGCGACTATAAAGTGGATGAGGTCCAAATTGGGAGGCGGTCTTCACTGGCAGAACACGCTCCCCGCGACGCGTTCAACACGCTCCCAATTGAGTAAAATGGTGTTGAAGAGACGGCTGTACCTTGATTTTTCCCCTTCACAACACAACACACAACATGGGTATGTATCACTCCCAATCTGACCCGTTAACCAGTCATTATCTAACAACACTGATAGACGGAAATTACAACAATTATAGCTCCTTCGGCGGCGGCGGCGGTGGAGGATTCATGCCGGGCGAGGCGAACAGTCCCGCGGGAGGCAAGGTATACACATGATCCTAGGCTTCTATATACAGCGAACACCAACTAATAAAAATCCAGACTTATGACCGGGACAACAAAACCCTTCGTCCCGTGACAGTGAAGCAAGTCCTCGACGCCTCGCAGCCCTTCCCCGAAGCGCCATTCCAAATCGACGGCGCTGACGTCGCCAATGTCCTCATCATGGGCCAAGTACGCAACATCAGCTCGCAGAGCACAAACGTGACATACATAATCGACGACGGCACAGGCGGTGTCGAAGTCAAGAAATGGATTGACTCAGCCACCGCGGACAACATGGACACCGACGATGGCAAGGCGCCCGGCGATGGGAAGACTGAGGTCCAGCTGAACGGTTTCGCACGTGTTTTCGGCTCCATCAAGTCCTTCGCCAACAAGCGGTACATCGGTGCTCATTCTGTCCGACCCGTGTCGAATGTCAATGAGCTGCATACTCATCTGCTCGAGGCTACTGCCGTGCATTTGTTCTTCACTCGTGGCCCGCCCGGTGGGGCTGGTGCTGCTGGCGGCAATGCTGGCGGGGCTGATGCTGTTATGGGTGGTGCCGATGACTACAGTGGTGGGCAGAACAAGGCTCTTGCTTCGATGTCACTTGTTGCGAAGAAGATTTATAACTTGCTCAAGACTGAGCCTCAGGATGATACGGGCCTACACATGCAGGTCATCGCTTCTAAACTGAATATGCCTGCGACTGAAGTGGCCAGGGCGGGTGAGGAGTTGCTTGGTGCTGGTGTGATCTTCTCCACTATGGATGAACAAACATGGGCTATTTTGGAGTATTAGAGGGATGTGAGTGGTCATGTCTGTGTTATTCGTTAAAAGTCACGTTCAGACTCCAATGATATCATGATTTGTCTTGTAAAATATCCGAGAGAGTCGTAATTGCTTTATCTGTGTTTCCTTTTTAGCAATATGTAGACAGAATTGAAAACAGGGCCGGGGTTTAAACCGAGGCTGAAACAGAAATCACTTGAAGCCACCGCTAATTCAGAACGAAATACAAAGAACATGCTGGAGCGATTTGACCACTTTATGTCTATCAACTAGACAAGTATCAAGTCATAACAACGCTTCCCCTCCCATATACCAACAGTCAAGTTAGGTCAGCTCATTCCTCTTTAGAGCTTCCTCAACTGAGCGATTCCAATTAGCTCGAGTGATAAAGAGGGCCTCAATGAGGGAGACAAGGGCAAGCGCAAGGGCAACCCCAGTCCACAAGCCCATAACACCCCAATTCAAATAAAATGTCGTTCCCATACTAAGAGGCATGGCAATCACATAGTAACAAAATAGTTGAATGTAACCGCCCACTTCTTGGCGACCCAGACCACGGAGAATACCGTTGCAGTTTGCCGCGAGAGCATCGAAAAGCTGGAAGGCTGCACAGAGCGGAAGCACCTGTGCTACAATTTCGACGACTTCGGGATCAGAGCTGAATAATCTGGGGATATACAATCGCAAACTGGAGAGAAGAACCATGTTGAACATTCCAACGACGGCTGCTCCCCAGAAGCTCACTTTCGCAGTTGTCTTTGCGGCATCGACCAAGGTAGCCCCAATCAGATTTGCTATCCGCGTACTACCCGCAATGGATAGTGGGAACGGAATCTGCCACGTAATGCTGGAGATTGTTGCGAGAATGGACTGCGCTGCGAGTGCGGACGTGCCGAGATAGCTTGATGCCAGCGTCAGAATTTCAAATGCCAGACACTCTGCCTCGACCATGATCAGCCCTGGGAGTGCGAGACGGATCATAGGGCCCCAGTTCTGGAATGCTCGTCTGGTAAATCCGCACCAGCACTCGGATCCCACGAAGAAATAAACGTAGGCGAACAGGCAGACCGGGAGGAGATTTTCGGTGATTACGACGGCGATTGGAGCCCCAATGAAGCCCCATTGAAGTTTCTGGTATCCGAGTCAGTATCATCCTCGTCCGAAGTCTGGAAAGTACTCACCCAGACCAAGAACCAGTTCAGGAAGGCATTAAGTGGCGCGCAGATAATCAGGACATATAGGGAGGCAGAAAATACACCCTGGGCCTGAAGGTATCGCTTGCCACTCTCGAAGAGAGCGAATGCCGGGGTTCCCAAAAGAGCAATTCTCAAATATAGACCTGCCATCTCGGCGACCTCTTTCTCCGGTACAATCTTGGCAAGGATATACTCCGAAAAATACCAGAGAACCATAATTGGAATGGTGATGACCCAGAGAAAATACACCATGCGCAGCATCTGCAGACCCACCAGCTTTCTCTTCCCAGAACCATAGGCCTGCGCACAAAGCGTATCCAAACTAGTCGACAGACCCGAGTACACCGCATTCCCAGTAATAGTCACAGTCATACTCGCAAGACTGACAGCTCCAAGCTCTTCCTTTCCCAGATGGCCAATAGTAAATATACTAGCCACAGTCAAAGAATACTGCAGCAAGAAAGTGACCATGAGTGGCAAAGAGTATTTCATAATAACCTTTGCTTCGCGCTGCCATGTCGTCTGGATCAAACCGGCTGCGATGGCTTCTTCCCATTTCCGGTCAATATCTTCCAAGTCCATTTCACTGTCCTCGGAATCCGCCGGCCGCTCTCCAAGTAGAGCAGTGATTTCGCTTGCCCTGTCCGTCTCGGGATCCCTGCTTCTAGAGCGTCGAGAAGATCCACTTGGTCGTCGAGACTGGGATCCCTGGCCGATAGCAGCGGATAGCAAACCGCTCATCTTACGCTGCAGTCCGTGGGACTTGCCATGCGCATGCTCGGGCGCGATAACATTGTTATCACTCAATAGATGCCGTTCTTCCTCGATGACTTGTTCGCGCTCGCTTTGAGATAGGGATTGTTGTTCCCCGGCCCAAGGAATTACAGTCGAATGACTGACAGAGGTGAAGCAACTGGGGCGGCGATATGAACTAGCTAAAGAGTGGGGTTTGGTGCTGGCATAGCTACCGGCCGGGCGAGCTGTTGAGGTGTCAGAAGATTCATCGGTGGGTGTTCGATCCTCATCACTGTAGTCTGCAAGATCTCGTGCAATTGCCGAGGCCGCAATGGGCGAGCTGGATGTGAAAGACCGGCTAAATGGGCTTTGATGCTCGGCGGCATCCACCGAACGGATGTTCCGGGCCATGATAAGGCTGTAAGAGATGAATTGAGGCTGTGGGTGTTTTACTCCCACCGCATTATTTACAGCAAGATAAATCGAGCTACCTCGGGTCGTAACTCTAGATGCTTGGAGCCTTGAAGATATTTAAAAGAAGGCAAAAAAGCTTAGAGAGAAAAAGACGGTTAAAGCTAAATGCGGAGATGTATTTGTAATACCATAAATACGACCTGTCTGAGCTTAGATATTGCTCGAATCGTGTAATTTACAGAAATGCAGATGACAATATAGATAATGTAGGTAATGTAGGTAACTAGTTAACACTTCAATAAGGGGTGTGAGTCAACATTTGAATCTTCCAAAGGTCTACAATATAATTCAGGGTATGAGTTACACAATGTAGTGCACACCGCTAAGACGCAGTAGGAAGCTCGATGCGGGACAGTTTTTGTGGGCTTAACTTGGACTTGATATGGCCAATCATCACCTTCACTTCACTGCCTTGCATCAATAGGTCCATACAGGAACCTGACTCTGCTCATCCTACCACTTGTATAAAGCCCGAAGATGTCGATCATCAGATCATATGTATGAAGTACGGAGTACAACTTGCGAAGATAACAATGTGACATCATTCCTAAAACAGTATAGGTCATCACATGACCCGTCGCAGACCAAGACCCCAGGTTTTTCTCCAGCTTTCGGAGATGATTGAGCTTCGAGTGTCGAACCTTTCACCATGTCTACAACGGTGACACAAGTTGGGGGTGTTCGTGCCCCCTTCAACCCTTTGATCAACCCGGTACATTCTAAGCCGGTTCTCGTGGAAGAGTAAGTCAAATTGTCCAGCTCTGTAGAAATGGCTGGAGGAGCGCGCAATGATTGGAGAGCAAAACACGTTGCTCAGTGGCTTGATCCCCTTACATTATGGCGTACTTCAAATTCAAGACGGGCATTCTCCATGATTGACATGATTTCCATTTGCCCCACACCACATTCTGCCCCAGCCCAGTGACAAACCCGATTAACGTTTCTAAAGACACATCGAGTCCCAGCACCACATCTTCCTCTCACGTCCTTATTTCGGCGCGCTTCTATTCGAAAACACCTCTTCCGACGCCCGCGACCACTGCGCCAACGAGCGCACTTTCCTTTCATGGCTCCGTCTGTCCATGTATCTGGCCGTGGTATCGTTGGCCATCATCATCTCCTTTCATTTCCGTGAACAACCCACTGGCCTAGAGAGACGCATGGCCTTGCCCCTTGGGATCATTTTCTGGCTTCTGAGTTTGGCCTGTTTGGCTAATGGGTTTGCGAATTACTCGCGTACTGTCAAGAAGTATGCGCGCAAGGCGGCTCTGGTGCAGAGTGGTTGGAAAACCCAGGTTGTCTTTACGGTCGTTGGGACAGTGATCTTAGGCAGTTGCATTTTGTTTTTGTCCACGGATCCAGCGCAGTAATAGTTGTGCTGGGCTGGGACTTTTCGATTCTATCTTATTAGCGCTGGCGTTGGCATTATTCTTGGGCATTTTTGGTTGCTTGTTACATTCATTACTGCATTAATGTATTCATGTCTCGATCATGTCTCATTAGGGAATATTCTTAAACACGAGCAAATTCAGGACCAAATCATTGAATATGTTCTTAATTTCCTAAAATAAACCGAGGGGCCAAATATCAGAAGAAGTGATGTCGTGACAATCGTCTCGTGTGCAAAGGTATATATATTTCCATGAGTCTCGTAAAGGAGGCAGGCTTGCCCCGAGGAATGCAAAGATGACAAAAAGAAACAGTGCACAAACCGAATATGGAACCGAAATGGAACCGAGATATGCGATAGACTATGCATCGGATCTTTTACATTCGACGAATGTCCTGCTCGTTCTTGTACTTATCCAGGGCCGGCGTACCAAGGTGGCTCCACCACTCGAACAGCATGGAGTTGCAGATAAGCTTGAACCAGGGGGGTGAATTTCAACCCGGGCTGCTCGAACATTGCCTTAAGCTCATCAGCTGAGACGTAGGTAGTGTCTCGGACCTCGTTGGGGCTGGGCTTCAGATCAACATCGGCCTGGATGAAGAGGATATAGTCCACTAGCGAGATGTCAGTGTTTCCATTTATCGAATCAAATATGCATTGCGCCATGTAACATACCCTCGTGTTCACCCCACTTTCCATCACTGGGAGCCTTGTAGTGAATTCTCGTGAAGAATTCAAACTTGTCCAGGGGTACTTGCTCTGCCTTAATGCCCAGTTCATGGTCCAGCTTGCGCTGCGCAGCACGCTTCACGCCCATAACGGCAGCATCCAGCTCAGCTCCAGTCTCACCGGGAATTCCAAGAGGGTGTGAGCAGCAGGTGTTGGTCCACATGTCGGGGAAGGTGATCTTCTCGGTGGCGCGCTGTTGGAGCAGAAGACGCTTATTGGAGTCGAAAAGGAAAACCGAGAAGGCGCGGTGAAGGAGACCCTTGTCGATGTTGGTCATCAAATGGCCTATGCAGATGCGACTGTTAGTGATTTGTCTTGTATGTTATGCGCCACTACCCCGCCATTCTGTAGGTGATTATGGGGGTGTAGAACGTACAGAGCTTCTTGCTGGCGCTTCCAATTGGCCGGTCATTGTTATCCAAAACAATGCAGACCTCATCCATCAGACGGACCTGCTCTTCATCGTAACCCTCAAGCTCGCCGCCGGGTGCAGTGTTTGTTTGGCTTGCGGGGAGGATTTCACGGGCGAGCGATGTATCGACCTCGGGGAAGAGAGTGGCAACATTGTCCGCCGTAATCTCAGGCGGACTTGTGATTGTAGTGGTTGCGCTCATTTTGGCTAAAATATTGTAGTTGAAAGAAAGTACGGAATAATGAATCCCAACAGAAAGAAATCACAGGGAAATGCGGCGTTAGGTCAAAGGCGGCAATGATAGGCAGAATTGCGTCTCTCCGATGTTTGCCTTCATCGGGAAATTCCAACCTCGGAAAAGGAACTTCTGGTCGATACACTCTACCAAGAACCTTGGAACTACCAATGGGATTACGCAAAGTGCTATATGATGATCAAAATTGCATTTAAGGCCAGATCTATCAATATGCGAATATCAGAAGCATCAGTTCGCACTACCAGGTCATCATATCAAGATAGCACATTGATCACTTCAGTTCAAGGAGACTGGTCAGCTTCTCTAATTCTGCAACTTCCTCTAGTCCTAAAAGACCCAACTTCTCCCGCCGAGTTGGCGCATTCGGGTCAAATACAGGCTTTTCAGCAAGCGAAGTCACCCGTGTGCCGTGTCTAGGCTGGGATCCCTCATAATCCCAGCTGGCGTTATGGATCGTGATACTATTGAAGAATAAACTTCAAATTAAAGAGCTTGCTTTCTTCGGGTATTGACTAACCGGTTGTCCCACAGTGCACTCGTGCGTGGACTCCACTTAAACCGAACCTGGATATCAGGGTTCTTCTCATAAACGTCGTATAGGTATCCCAGAATCACATCACTTTCGGCCTTGTCAAGACCAACGATTCGGTCTGTCATAGCCCGGTTTACCCACAGTGCCTTCCAGCCCGTAGCTGGGTGGACACGGACAATCGGGTGCTCGCGCTCTATATATTGAGGGCCTGTTTCCGGGTTCTTACGATCGAGATATGGGTGAGCTGAGCGATATATGGCAGTCCTTCCGTCAATCAGCTTGCGGAATAATGGCGATAGCTTCTCGTATGCCGCGTATCCACTTGCCCAGAGGGTATCACCTCCGACTGTTGGCACAGTATCGTTGTGGAGATGGGTCACACCGGCGGGCTGTCTCTCGTGCACGAGATCACTATGCCACCGAGACGCTCCTCCCGGCCGGCGGAAGCTTGCTGGTGTTTCTGTTTCCTGCAATGCTGGCCACATTACAGTCACGCCGGGGATGCCAGGGACATGGGGCACTTGAGGCTAAAAAGAAAAGAGAAACACAATTAATTGGTGATTGGCACATGGATTTGCTGGGTTGGGCAAAACATACATGAATCTCAACCTCTCCGAACCACTCTCCCAGTTGCTTCTGTTGTTGAGGAGTGATATCTTGGCCCCGGAAGAAGACAACACTTCGTTCGGCAATCAATAAGCCTAGCTCATCCTTCTGCTGGTCTGTCAGATCCTTTAGCTGCAATCCAACGATTTCAGTTCCGATGTGTCTTGTCTAGTCAACGGAATCACTTCCTTGGCCGCGGATAGAAGTGCTTTCTTCTCGGGATCGGCTCGGCTGCCGGGGTCTATATGGATGCGATCATAGTCCCGCACGTTGTAAACATCGTCAATATAGAGAGGACGAGATGGCCGGTACGGGTAGCCGTCACTGAGATCAACCCCAGCCTTTTCTAAACGTTCTCGTGCAGGCCCAGGAAGACCGAGTGTGTCCTTCTTGGGCACTGCGACATCGACGATACGTGAATCAATTGGAGCAGGAGCCATGATAATAGATAGACTTTGGAACTTTATAATTCTGGTGAGTTCGAATCGATATCAAGCCTGTACTATATACATATTTTAGAAATGTCGATTCTCTTATTGATCAACGTTGTAGCGTTGTACTGCCCAGGATTTGAGCACATCATAGTCATCACCCATTACGCCTTTTGTGGGCCACGAATGGCCACGAATGTTATTTTAGTTATCTCCGGTTGCCATTCTCATACCCCTCTTTCAGAATTCGATGTAAACATTATTGTCCAATCTATACTTGTTGTGTACATTAATTCTAAGCGGGGACCCCCCGATGTCACAATCCACGATCAAAATCACGAGGATTCCTAATATCTGATTCTCTGCCGTTTTTTCCGTTGAGTATTGCGATATATCAGCCCATATTGTCGTTTGGGGGGCCATAAGTGCGGAAACAATCTACGTAGACACGGATAGGCAAATTATCTCTTTGCGTTTTTCATTTCTGTGAAATCATCATGAGTGATTCCGTTCGAGTTGCTGTTATTGGGGCTGGTATCAGTGGAGTGGTCACTGCTGGCCATCTTCTGGCTGCTGGAATTCAGGTGACTGTTTTCGAGAGAAACAATGCAAGTGGTGGAGTGTGGTAAGATCGTGAATCGTCTTTTTGATGTGAAATAATGGACTAAAACTATGTAGGCTTTATGACAAGCGTGCTCCGATTGAAGCCCAGTACCCATCACCAAGACCATCCGCTTCACAGGAATATGTGAAGGATGCGAGGGAAGGCAATGAAAGAAAGATCTTACTTCATGCACCTCCAGGGTAAGTTCTAGTATCTCTTTTTCTTTTCAATTCTTCTTTTTTTCACATGGCAGTTGTACTCACTATTGCCTAGGCCTTGTTATGAAAGTCTTACTAATAATGTCTCGACTCCTTTACTTCAAACGAAACTCAACACATGGCCAGAAGGGACTGGTCCTTTTGTGAAGCATCATGTCCTCAAGGATTATATCCAAGATACGTCGAACAAGGCCGGTGTTGATGATATAACCAAGTTTGGCGCCCGAGTCACCCACGTTCATAAGGACGGGTCAACATGGACAGTTCACTGGAGCACTCTGAACGAAGGCCAAGATCCCGTTGAAAATGAGGAGTCCGCAGTAAGTTCTCATTTCTACGAGGGATTTCGTTTTCATTTTCAGAAGCGGGTTTTGACCGGATCATAGACGTTTGACTCGGTCATTGTTGCCTCGGGTCATTATCATACACCTCTCGTCCCGAATATCCGGGGTCTACCCGAAGCAAAAGCGCAATGGCCCGAGAAGATCTTCCATTCAAAGTCCTTCCGAAGGTCAGAAGGATTTAAGGGAAAGGTAGGAGCGAACTCATTCTAGTATCGAGTGGCACTGGGCTAACTAAACTACAGAATGTACTATTGCTCGGCGGAGGCGTCTCCTCCCTCGACATAGCCACTGAAATCAGTGGAACCGCAGACCACGTGTATCAAAGCACCCGAAATGGTGCCTTTGATTTGCCCGAGAGTGCACTTCCAGAAAATGCCTCAAGAATTGCTGAGATTGAAGCATTCGAGCCTTCTACATCGACATCCCCAAACGCCGAGCATTTGCCCTTGACCGCACATCTCAAATCTGGGGAGATTTTGCACGATATAGATGCAATTATTCTTTGTACAGGATACCAAATGGCACTGCCATTCCTGGATGAATATAATGACTACAGTCTGTCTGCCGCCGAGGCAAATGACAAGGTGCTTGTCACAGATGGTACTCAAGTCCATAACTTACATCAAGACATTTTCTACATCCCAGATCCCACGCTCGCATTTGTGGGCATTCCTTTCTACACCGCAACTTTCTCTTTATTCGAGTTCCAAGCTATCGCGGTGGCAGCCTTTCTGACTGGAGTTGCCCAGCTTCCATCCACTACGAGTCTCCGCACGGAATATGAGAATCGCGTGAAAGAGAAGGGTCTTGGGCGGAGCTTCCATTCACTCAAGGACCAAGAACAACCGTATGTTGTGGAATTGATTAAATGGGTCAATACCGGAAGAGCTGAGCACGGGTTGTCTCCGATTGAGGGTCATACTCAGACCTGGATTACAGAGAGGGCGGCTTTGAGCGAGAGACTTAAGTTGATTCTGGCAGGGAAGCTTTCCCGGGCAGATATTCTGAAAAGCCCATTGGAGGTGGGAGTGACTGCGTGAGGTATTTGAGAAGATATTGAATGAAGATATTGTAAAAACACACCGTTGTAGTCTTCAATATAACGTCCGTCATCTCGAGTCGACTGGAACGGATTATCCAAGTGCTACTACCCCACACGCAGCCAACTGTTCTTGTTCTTGCGGCGAAGTCTACTTCTGAGCTGTATCCCTGGTGGCTTTGCTTTATGCTAGCATTGATACCAAGGGAAATCTGCCGCGCATCGCCCCAGTTGACACAATACCCCGCGCTTGTATATCAGAAAGACCAAATCTTAAGCTTACAGCAATATGTAATATAAAATATTTCAATCAGATATGAAAATATTTGGGTCCTCCCATCACGTGTATGACGAGCTTCACTACACGGATGGTGAGTTCCTAGCGTGGTATGGCAACATCAACATCAACACAAATCATCCCCAAAGTCGGTAAAGTTCCGATTTAATTATGCATCTCACACTTGGGGGATTATGTCGAAAATATTTGCAGGAATTGCGCGAACAAGTCGCCCGGTCATTCGACCTGCTATGCAGATCAGCTACTCAGTGCGGAGTATAACATTGGAAACTTGAAGCATGATTCACTCGGCTTTAAGCCCGATACCTCCTCCAGAGCTGTTATGAAAGTGAGCGCTAGGACGACCTCGCCAAGTTAGTACGTCCCTAGTATTGATCGGCCGTTGGACTCGATCACTTTCCTGCGCTATAAGAATGTTCCGGGGGCTCTGGGCTTCAAGTTTTTTCTTCTTCTTCTCACCATTGCCACGGCATCACCATGTCGCCAAAATCCCCCGCCGAAGCGGATATCGACCTGGCGACGCAGATAGTTCAGAAACAGCCCAGGCGTAAATGGGTCAGCTACATTTGGGACACATTCGATAAGTCACCAGAGGAGCGTCACTTGCTTTTCAAATTGGATTCGGCCATTCTAACGTTTGCATCGTTGGGTAAGTTTAGTTAAACCATTCTCCCTGGATGATATTAAACAGTTATAGGATATTTTATCAAGTATCTGGATCAAATCAATATCAACAATGCATTTGTCTCTGGAATGTACGGTACCATATGCATGTTTGAATCTCGAGAGGTTGATATTGATAACTTATAGGAAGGAAGACTTGGGCATGTACGGCAATGAACTTAACTACATGCAGACATGCTGGACTATCGGCTACGTTATTGGAGAAATCCCCAGCAATATACTCCTCACTCGCATCAAGCCGCGATATTGGATTCCGGCTATGGAGGTAAGAAGTTCTGCTTTTTTGCACAAGAGCTGTATGCTTACACCCTCGTAGCTTCTCTGGACAGTTCTCACAATGTCGCTATCCCGGTGTAACACGCCTACTCAGTTCTATGTTCTTAGATTCTTTGTTGGTATGCAAACACAGCCTATCAAGAACTCACTAGTTATACTATAGTGGGTTATTAACATTGCCCTACAATAGGCCTCGCTGAAAGTACTTTCTATCCGGGAATGCAATATATTATTGGCTCGTGGTACCGGAAAGACGAGTTGGCAAAACGATCATGCATTTTCCACACGAGCAGCGGAATTGCCAGTATGTTTTCTGGTTATCTGATGGACGCGGTTTTCCACCTCGGAGGACGAGGAGGCTTCAAAGGCTGGCAATGGTAAGAAAATGGCAGAGTCTCGGCATCTTGTTATATACTAACTAATGTTTAGGCTATTTATTATCGATGGGGTCATTTCCCTGCCCGTGGCTATTAGTGGATTCTTTATCCTTCCCGATGTTCCTGAGATCTCTAATCCATGGTATTTGAGCAAAGAGGTAAGTTTTACTATTTGAAACCCCTGCCTTTTATACACATATTAACATCGAAGTAGGAGGTCAATCTTGCCCAGACGCGAATGAAATTAGAAGGGAGACAGAACAGAGAGCCATACACAAAGTCAAAGCTAAAGAAAATCTTCACCTCGTGGCACATCTATCTTCTGACCTTGCTTTATATGTGAGTCTAATGCCTAATTGGTCTAGGACGAAAAGGCTCACCCGTATTAGATGTTTCAACAATGGTGCCGCTGGAAGTCAGCCTATCTTCCAACAGTGAGTAATATCTGGACACCACTACCGGCAAACTTACTCTGACACCTGGCAGGTTCCTCAAAAACTCAAAAGATCCTGTGTATTCAATCAGCCAGATCAATTCGATACCAACCACCACTCCAGCGGTTCAAGTCGTGACAACCCTTGCTTACGCGTGGATATCGGATACTATCCTGAACGGCAGCCGTTGGCCCCCAGTCATCTTCGGTGCTGTGAGTATAACACTCTGTAAAGCAATATAGAAAATTTCTAACACTTTGCCAGTGCGTCAACATCATAAGTTACGTCTCGCTCGCAGTTTGGGACATTCCGATAGGATGGAAATGGACTTGTTACATTATCAGCGGGGCTGGATACGGACTGAGTGGTTTGTTAATGGCGTAAGTTTCACAAATTCCCAGGGCTATCAAAGTGCAGATATCCTAATAAAATTACCACAGATGGGCGCATGAAATATGCTCTGAAGATAACGAGGAGCGGTCCTTGGTCATTGGAAGCATGAATGAAATGGCTTATGTGTTCCAAGCCTGGCTGCCTCTTGTCGTATGGCAGCAGGTCGAGGGGCCGGAGTACCGAAAGGGCTTCATCACTCTCACCGTTCTGTCTGTTATCTTGATTATTAGTACTTTCGTTGTTCGATTCCTCCACAAAAGAGAGAAATTGGGAAAAGGGTAAGTATCTTTATGCCTTTGAGGTTCGTGTCTATTGCTAACTGAGATCGTGGTATATAGGAATCAGACATACGAGGCAGAGACGGAAGATAGTTCCTCGGATTCTCAAGAAACGACCCCTATTGAGACAAAGCCTACCAAGGCTTGAGATAGGTGCAGTTGATTCGTGGTTGCTGAAAGACAGATATAAAAAAGATGGAGGAATAGAACGACTGATAGATCCAGCGGGAAAAAAGAAAAAGTCAAGGCTCTCTCGATTCATCGAAAATTTCTACATTTCAATAGAGTAATAGAATGGAAACTAAATTGTCTATACTATATGGCGAGTTTGATAAGCTTAGCATTAAGCTAGCAGCTATTGTTCTTTTCATTTCCCAGCCTGTTTTCACAGGTGCGTCAAACATGTTCTTAAAGCATTTCTTGATTCCTGCAAAATGATTATATAGTCTGCACTCCATACGGGGTGTAGAATTACCATTTAGTGTGACGAGTCGTAGTAGTTCGTGTGATGTGTGATTGAGCGATATCCAAGCCCATATCCGTGGCACAAGATCACTTAATCGGACATCCAGTTCCTCCAAGATCTTAAAACAAAATCCCAGTAATTCAACCCCCATATCTTGTAGACTTCGGATGAGGTTTACAGATCTGACCGATAATCGGGATTATCCTTGCATATCGCCCCGATACTACGGAGTACTCCGTATCAACAGATCCTAAGCTAGCAGGGATGAGACTACTCCGTCCAACATTACAACATACAAGCAAACTTGGCAGATACCCAGGATTTTCCAATATCCAAATCTAAACTCAGGGGTAGATTATACATTATACGAACATACGAATAACTAATCCGATAGATCAGGCTAGGCGCCCGTGTACGATTGCAAAGCTATTAGCAGTATGAAGTAGTATTAGTGGCGCTATAACTAGTGATGGGAGATTAACAGGGCACATTCCCCGGATGGAGTACGTAGTACTCCGTAAGAGCGACAAAATTGCAAGATTGTGATAGCCCTATCACAACAACATTGTGTGGGACAAGGATTTCTTTGTTTCCTCCTCCGTACTCCGTACTCCGTACCTAGTATTCCTAGGCTTGCCCCTAGTTCATTGCGGATACGGAGCACAGTCGGTATACTCCGTAGAGATCGGCATTGAGTCTTTTAGGCAAGATTGTCGAGCTTGGACACTTCCTCGTTTTTTCTTTTCTTTTTTTTTTTTTTGTTTCCCCTTCTTTTTTTGGTTTAGGGTCATAGCTCCATGGAAATCATAGAGATCTACAAAATTGAGAGTCATAGCAATATTGTGCCAAGATAGATTTCCATAAGCTATATTGGCCTACGTATGGAGTGCTCTGTAACTAACTATTCAATGTATCAATGTATCAATGTACTCTCTTTCTTTCTTTCTTTCTTTTTTTTTTTGGCTCACCATCACCTCTTTCGGGGAAGTCACCGATAGTGTACTAAATGCAAACGCCTCAACTTCAGCACCGCGGAGAACTTATTGTCCTGGATAATATGACTGGATTTCCGGGCCCACTTATTTAAAAAAAAGTCTCAGGGGCAAGAATCAAATCGGCCGGTCTGGAGTACCTCAACACTTCTTTATGGGGTATTCCATTCGGATGTGGTTTATGATCACGGACCATTTTCCAGATAGGCGAACAGACGCGATGTCTCCTGCGCGGCTGCACCGGAGGCACAATTCCAAATGGTCGAAGTCTTGTCATTCGTCTCCACTTAATACGACTAGCTTCAAGAAGTAGTGGAGATAGCGGGGGGTGGAATTGAGGATCTTTGGATAATAATATGATTATTGGTAGTTTAACGGGCAATTAAACATACGAGAATGGATTCCCACTATATATATATATATATTTTCCCGTAATAGTGTGACTGAACAAGGATTAATAGATTGCAGGAAGAGGTCAGGGCTGGGGAAGTGAGACATGCCCTATGATACTTGGAAGACTCTTTAGATTCGCGCTTTTTTTTTCTTCCGGGATTTGCAAATTTAGAGAAGAGAGGAGTAATGGCGTTAATAAGAGCACTAAGAGAGTTAGAGTTGTTTCACTTCCTTCAAAGATCGACTGAATGTCGAAGATGCCTACTGGCTTTTTAGCGTGTGATTCGGGCGTTCTTAAGGTGGAGCGCGGCAAGAGTCGAGATCCAACGGGCCTCGGGGAATCGGAAGGGGGGCAGAAGGGGGGAGGTGGAGGGTAGTTGTTGAGTCGGAGGTCTTGCCCTTGAACTTCCCTGGGATATCTTGTGAATTTCTCTTCTTTGGAAGTGGAAATAAGTGCAATTTCCACGCAGAACCATGTTCTTTCGCTCTCCAAATCGCTGTTGGTCTAAAATCAACTTGCATTCATAACAATTCAGACATATATGTATGTGTACTTTACCAAAAGACTCTGGTCTTCAGTCCAATCCCTGTTTTAAAGACCAGATGGATCTTTGATTGACCTACTTCATAGAAGTGCGGTGATATTGGATGTGAGTACTCCGTACTCCAGTTACCCGCGCGCCAGCTCATGCGGTTGAATGCAAATGATATCACATTCAAAATGGCACATATGTACTGGGTAAGGTATATGAAGATATAGTCAAATAAAATGAATTGAAACGATGCGGAAAAAGACAAAACAAAAACAACCACCTGCAATACAGTAATTCAAAATTCCAACCAAAATGCATCGTATAATAACCCAACAACGCCATGGAAATGAGACTTCATGCTATGCAAAAGATGTGAATCCTAATAGGAATGGCATCCCATAAAGCCCTGTAAATAAAAGCAAATAACAGCAAAATCAACGTGACTCTGACCAGCAGATCCCGTAATGGCAAAACCGTGCAACCCGTAAATATCATAACCAAAGGATGATATCCCCCTCCGGTACTGATTTAGACAGGCAGAATGGAATTGACTGTCTATGCCATTAACTAGCTGAGCGGCGCTTGTTTGACACTCGTTGGCGCTGTCTGGGCATGAGCGAAGACGGCTCAGCGTGACTGGTAGATCTCGGAGCGTTGCGATGCTTCTCTACACAATCATGTCTACATGCTCATATCAGTACAAAAGTACACATTCAATGAGAATAAATATTCTGGGACCTTACCTAGCCAGACTATCCTGGCGACTGAAACGCCGGTCGCAAGAGTCACAGGTGTACCTCCGAAGCCCGAGATGCACCTAAAGGTCTCATTAGTGGCTGCTTCTTGACCCCCTTTTGGTCTCTCTACTCACAGTATTCATGTGTCTTTTGAGATCTGCACTTCGTCCAAATGTCTTGTGGCAGTCCTCGCACGGATGGTTGTTCCTCCATTCAGGGTTGTGCATCTTTTGGTGCTCTTTGCAGTTTGAACGTCGCGTGAATTTGACGCCACAAATTGGACATTCCAGGCCACTGGCAGACATCAGCCTATCGTTTGAGGAGCCGCGCTCTCTTTTGCTCGAGTTCGTGGCAATATCGGGTCCTTCGGATGCTTGAGGTTGCGGCACCACTTGCCCGGTGTTGATGTTGTGCCCAGAGGATCCGTATCCAACCTCCTCGCCCATCGCTCCGAGGTAGGCAATATTGTTAACTGGCAATAGGGGCATCGTCGAGGTGATGCATGCATCCGGAAACACATTCTGGTCCCATTGTCCTGCGGCTCCGTTCGCTACAGTGACCGGGTTAACATCCGATGGAGTTGTCGGCCCCGAGCAAGGCGTGTGCATCCAAATATCGGTCATTTGGGCTGGGAAGACGTTCTGGCCAGGGACAACCTCCATGGCGGAGTTGTAACTGGGGGATGCGCTCATGGCTGGGGGGCTGTAGAATCCTAGTGAGGTCTCCGAAGCACTGTTGACAAGTCCGCTGTAGACTGGTGGATAGCATTGTCCGCTAGAATAGTCGTCATAGGATAATGCGAAGGTGGGATTTGGCGCTCCAGGGACTAGTTGTGATGGCAGTGTAGGCGTGGGAGGGAAGACCCTCAGTTGACCGAATGCATTCTCGATTTCGCAGCGGGAGATGCCCAGACCAATAGGGGAGACCCTTCCTTGGGACGAGGTCGAAATGGGAGAAGAATATACCGATGAATTTTCGCGAGACCGTATATCCTCTCTTCGCGGGGATGTGACTGAGGGATGAACTAGATTCCGATTCATGATGTAGAGTAATCCAATAAAAGAAATGTGAAGTATATTCCCATCAAAACCATCCAAATGGCTAGTCTATATCAGAGTCAATAAAGAATGGCGATAAACCCAAGTATATATAGTAAAGGCTTTTGAATCAACAGCTTCGCTGTTGGTGATTGACAGCGGCAGCATACATCGGTGGCTGAGAGTAGGGTAGTGGATAGGGTATGAATTCATTGGAGAAGAACTTGCGCCGCATCGACACCGACAGATGTTGAAGATTCAACGACTTGACGCCGTAATAGACAAGGCAGATTCGGAGAAGAAAGGGTCTGTAATTGCGGTGGAAGAGAAAATCGGGTGGGGGGGCATTAAGGGCCGGGGGGAGAGGGAGAGGGTCAAGGGTAATTCTGGACAAGAGATCGATTACAGTCCAGGTCTAACATATTTACAACAAGTACACACAGGTTAGCCTCTCACCCCTCCCCCCTCCAAGAGAGATCAGGATATACTATGTCATAACCTATCTAGGGTAAATCATTACATTTTCAGCCTAGTTTCGGATACTCCGTACATTTTTAGAGATCGTAATAAACCATGTAAGGAACCTGCTAACATAAAAGAAGATTATGACGATGCATAATGGCGGCTGTTGGGTTTGTCTGGAAAAAGGCTAACCATCCCCTTCACCACTGTTGGGCTGGTCTGCCCAACCGAGACGTGTCCCATGCAGGGTAGTTAGCCATACGGAAACATCAGCAGAGCCCGAGTCTCTGGATCGGCTTGGCGAGGTGCATTGGTGTGTCGAGGGCCTGTTGACCATGAGCACAGCCCGCATATTGCTGAGACGGTGGGGAATATATTTTTTTCTTTTCCTGACGAAAAATCAGAATAAGAATCAGAATACAATATACGGAGTAGGAGAAGTTGATTTAACTCACGAACACGACTAATTATCGTGACCTCAATGGTATGCGGGCCAGCCCTTCCGAACCGTTCGATCCCTTTGACTTCATGTATACCATAGCGCGGAAACTCCACATTGACTCCACAGGTAATTGACGCGCCTCCCCCGGACAAACTGTAGCTCTCATATATATATGATATATGATATATCCGAATTCAACTTCACAGTGGTCTATTTACTCGTTTTTCTCCTCTTGTGAATCGAACATGAAATTGGTTGGGAAGGAGAACCCAATCTTGAAACGCCAGGGACAGGGGGGGGAGTTGGAAAGCCAAAAAAAAAAAAAAAAAAAAAAAAGAAAGGAAAGTTGGAGATGAAAATTGGAGATGAAAAAAAAAGGAAACCCCCGAAAAAGACCACCAAGCCTGTTTCGATTAGGCTGTTCATCGATATGGTTGTTCAGAATATCGAACGGTTTTTTTTGGTTGTCAGGGTCCAGGGGGGCGTGCGTGGCCCTAAGCGCCAGGGGAAGTGACCCCTCTACCGCGCCTTTTGAACTTACATCAACTCCACAATCACAAGCCAAATCATCAGTACTCCGTAGAAACATGATAATTTTTGTGTTGGAATTGTCACTTTTGTTGGGCAATAGCCTCCACTTGAGTTCGTAGTCGTTCTATCGTGTCGATCAGGTCCGCAAGCTGCGGTACTTGCCCGAACTGCCCCATGTCTAGCTCACGCGCGGCTTGTTGATCCACACTGGGTGATTTTCCAAGGCCTAGGCGATTTGTTTCAACTACGGAGGGGTGGTGTGGGTCCTGGCACCGAGGACCAGTCGGATTTCCAGAAGTTCCTTGACGTGCCGATATTGGAGGAAGCAGGCTGTTCTGTCGTTTGGAATGTCGCCATTTAGACTCGTACGCCCATATCAATGCAACAAACGGGAGATGAGTGGCTCGAAGCAAGACAATTCGTACACGGCGAACGGTTCCGGCTGAGAGAAAAAGCCGCATGGGACGGATACAGAGGAGGGGAATAAGATTCTGCCGAGTATATTAGCTTGGAAATATTCCAGAATATACAAAGAAAGATTCAATTCAGGGATCAGACGCTGACTAACCAGGGGTGGCATGAAGTATGTCAGTCGTCGAGAATTGCTGCTTTCTAGGACGTAAATCGCCAATCTGATTGGCTGGTCAGTCCAAATGGAATTTTCCATGGGGCAGTGCCACATTTCACAGAAACAGGGATGCTTGTATACTTACTGGAAAAGGTATTCTTCTCGGGCATGCCGCATCACCTATTACAATAAGGAATTAATTGGCTGCCACGCAACTATAGTAGATGGGTGTTGACTTACCCCTTCAAGGCTCATACTCATCAAACTAATCAAGGATGAGAGAATGAGGGTATTGGTCATGAGGGCGAAAGTAAGCCTGTCAATTCATTCCAGTCAGTATCTTTTGCATACATTCCTGTGACAGAAACCAATTGCGTGGAAGTAGCCGTAAATGCCCGTGTGCTAATGACGCCCCCTCTAGAAAGAAAAAAAAGTCATGCAACTGGAGGTCACTTGCATATTGGAACGTGATCAAAAGCACATGCGACTCTTTTCATGCAATCAAATCAAGGGCACTCACATCAAGCCATAGCCGAAGATGGGGGAGATCTAAAAAAATTAGCGTGTCAGTTCAACTTTACACGATAGCCAACCATTTCGCCAATATTCCGGGATGCCCGCAGGACAGTCGGTGCGCAAGACTTACTTCAGACGCGGTGTCCTATCATCCAATCAATTCAGCCACTGTCAGTGTATATGCCAAAAAAAAAGAAAAGATAGGAAAACGCACTAGTCCAAGAACACTCGATCTACCTCATGGTCAGTCAAAAAGAAAAAAAAAGAAAGAGAAAAGAGCGGGCATAACAGGGGTTCTTTCACCGTACCCAAAGAACACTTTCACTAATAAATGTGACATGGTGCTGAGCGACAAGCGGTCACGCGCAAGCATAGTAAAGGTGGTCAAGAACCCTGTGGGAGTAATTCAGCGATTCGGCTCCGACATTGTTGTACTTCACCTATCTAGGGCTGCATTGCTTAGCCACACTTACCAACATACAATACTACCACCACTGGGAAAAACCTGAAGAATGCTTTCGTCTGAAACATATTGTCTATCAGCCTTGGGTCCTAAACCCACTTCCCACTTGGGCAAAAGGTCAGAAGATCGCACCATCTCTTTCAATACTGGTATCTGTTCATAGCCACAATCAGTCCGTTATTTTCTAGAACAGTGATGGTTCATGCAGGATCCACTTACTAGACTGCCAAAGTATGAATTCAAGCTCACAAGCGAGCAGATCCTGTTCATTCCGTGTCAGCCCTGTCGCCCAGCTAATTCCACCAATAGCCATACCTTGGTACAAGAAATAGAGCCTCCAGAGATAGGATGTCGAATGAAAGCTCAATAATGGGGTCGTTGCCCTTTGCTAGCCCGATGACCCCTGTGGCGTCCTCATTAGTTGCCCCATTGACACGGATGACCTGTAAACAACGAGCCGCAAGGCAGATTGAGCAGGGAGAGTAACTCACTTGTTATGACAAATGCCATTCCAACTCCAATTATGCTCAGGTTCCAAAGACTCCAGAAATCCATTTGGTAAAAAACGACTCCGGCATCAATGATTCCACTCAATTCATCGTATGCAAAAGCGACGATCCACACATACATCACCGCTTCGAAGATGCCCACGGCCTCTTGCCTCCTCTCTACTAGAACTGCGTAGTAGAGAAAGAGGAAGGACATGAAGAATGCTGCTTCAAAGATTTTCCGGTACAGAGGTACTCTCAGGCGTGAGTATGGATCAGACGTTCTGTTGGAAGGAAATTGTCAGTATCTCCGTAAAACAATTGTTTGTCCTGTCTAACCTTCTGTTAAAAATACGAGGTTTCTTGGTTGAATTGACGGTCAAAGAATCCCAGAAAACGATTTCACCCTTCCAAATACCATCGACCACCTTTTGAACAACTCGTTGGCTCAGAAATCTCTTCGCATGGGCAATCGTTGCAATCTCCAGTGCATTCAAGCCAAAAAATCGGGAGTATCTCTGGGCGGCATAGATTTCCTCATGTTGTTGTGTATCTTGTGAGGTTCCAGATAACTGAGTGTTCGTGGTACTCTTGCCAAAAAGACGGTAAAAAGAATAGTTTGACAAGAGAGGAGTGGCCTCGCTTTCAGTTTGGCTTGTATCACCTTGGATAGATGCCAGGCCAGTATTACCTGCTTCGGGTTCAATAAAATTTGCCGAACCGCGCCGCGGTGTTGGTAGCTCTTCTAACAGAAACTCAATTGTCTCGCGCTGGTTCAGGTGACACAAGAATTGCCAGGCAACAAATTCGCAGGCTGCACCACGGCTCTCATTGAGTCCCCAGTCATCCTCGGTGGCAGTGGTGAAGTCCCATTTCAGAATCCTGAAGTTGTTAATGACCAGTCCAGCTCCAGTGTCCTGTTTATGGTGAACTTACATCAGCGCTACAATGATGAAAGGATTGTGAGTATCATCTGCTAAAGCATGGACCAATTGCCTGAGGCGGTGCCCTTGGGATCCGTACAGCATTTGCTCAAACGTGTAAGCCATATCACCCACGGCCATGCTAATGAAGCTACAAGGGGCTTCGTTAATTCTGCTCAATTGAAAAGGCAGCCAAAACTTACTTGAACAGCTTCGGAAGAACATCGAATAACGGTTCGTCGGTTTCGATCACCGGAATTTCCGTATGATCCATGTGTGTTTCCATCTGGAGTTCTACTTCGATTAGCGGGTCTCCCTCATGGTCACGGCCAAAACCAGTCACATACCGACGCTGAACGTTGAATGTTGAAGCTTGAATCCAGGATTTCTTTCCAATAAAATTTAGCTGTTTGTTTTTGTTCTCCTCTTTTTTTTTAAACCTAGCGTATCTCCTCTTCGGGGATAGGGCAGAACTGCAGGCATCTAAGACCGAGGTATCGATGAACGGTCCATGTTGTTCAATTAGTGAGGGGTTCAGTTGGCCACATATAAAATGTAACAATGACCTTTATCAATATTTAAGATAAGAATAATCAACAATATTCAATATGAAACAGGAAGAATTGCGAGAGGGTAGGATGACAAGCTGAAAGTTGTCAACGACATCTTGCTGACCGCCTTGTGCACGTGTCGACGCGTCCAGTGACTTCATCAGCCTCAACATGACTCTCCTTATCGCATAGCTCTCTCCAGTCATCTCCAACTAATCTAGTCAATTCCTGACTCTGAATTACCATCATCAAACCTCCAACGGGGAGATGAGGGGCAGTCGACACCATGGGACAAGGCTACTCCCTCACAACCCTGTCCGCGGGGTCGGCGGGGATCGATGTGCCTGAATTATCGGACATGGTGTATGAGAAGTCGATGGGAGGTGGCAGGTTCATGAAAAGTATTCGCGCAAGGCAACCAAACGGTCTGGTGTTTATCAAGGTTATCATGAAACCGTTTCCAACCATGGAACTTGAGCCATATATCAAAAACATCACGAGTATGTTCGGATCCTTTTTTATTATTTCAAGCTTCTAATGTTCATGTACACTTCAGGGGAACGAAGGTTGTTATCGGATGTGCCAAATGCGCTAAGCTACCAGAGGATTCTTGAGACTGCCACGAGTGGATACCTTGTGCGCCAGTACATCCACAGCTCTCTCTATGATCGAATGAGGTATGTCTGTTGCCACTGTTGCCAGCGAACGAAGCCTGATAAAAAGTTAGCACACGGCCTTTTCTAGAGCATATTGAGAAAAAGTGGATTGCCTTCCAGCTACTGTGTGCTCTTCGAGATTGCCATTCACTAGATGTCTACCATGGTGATATCAAAACTGAAAATGTTTTGGTCACAGCCTGGAACTGGCTGTATCTTTCTGACTTCTCATCATCTTTCAAACCCACATTTCTCCCCGAGGATAACCCAGCAGATTTCTCCTTCTTCTTCGACATCTCCGGGAGGCGAACCTGTTATTTGGCCCCTGAGCGGTTCTCTGTTGCCGGGGAAGAGCCCAGTGAAAGTGGCGTCAACTGGGCTATGGATATCTTCAGTGCCGGCTGTGTCATTGCGGAGCTCTTCCTTGAATCGCCGATCTTCAACCTGAGTCAAATGTACAAGTATCGCAAAGGGGAATACAGCCCCGAACACAGTCAACTAGCAAAAATCGATGATCCGGACATTCGAGAGTTGATCCTGCATATGATCCAACTTGAGCCAGAGTCTCGATACTCGGCGGATGAATATCTGAATTTCTGGAAGGGCAAGGCCTTTCCGGAATACTTTTACGGTTTTCTCCACCAATACATGTCCCTCATGACCGATCCTTCTTCCGGGCGAACAGATGTGGATCCAGAATCAGCCAACCGAGGGGAGGCCGACGAACGGATTGAGCGAATTTACGTGGACTTCGATAAAGTATCTTACTTCCTCGGTTCCAACAACCGGGGCATTGGGGCTCTATCTAATGTCCCAGTCTCCAAATTGACAGGCAACACTCTCCCCGTGCGGCTTGATCTACCAAACGGCGAAAGCCAAATTTCAGCACCGCAGTCACAGCCAGATGGGGGTGCTCTGATTTTCCTTACACTTGTGGTATCCAACTTGCGAAATACAGCCAAGGCATCGGCTCGGATCAAGGCCTGCGATATTCTTCTTGCATTTGCGGAAAGACTGTCTGATGAAGCTAAATTGGATCGCATTCTTCCATATGTCATGGTCTTATTAACTGATCGGACCGATACTGTCAAGGTCGCTGCGATCCGCACCTTAACTCAATTACTGAAGATGGTCCAGGTGGTTTCTCCAGTCAATGCCTATCTCTTCTCCGAATACATATTTCCAAGGCTTCAGCCATTCGTTGCTACCTCCAACAGCAAACCAAGTGCTATGGTGCGTGCGGCATATGCCTCATGCATTGCGTCCTTGGCTCAGTCATCCTTGAGGTTTTTGGACATGATCCAAGCATTGCGTTCCGATACCCGTCTGGCTGCGTTGATCCCGGTCGGCTTTGAGCCCCGATGGACTGAGGATGCGACTTATCACAATCTCTATGACGTGGCTCGGGTCGATCTCCTGGAATACTTCGAGGTTCACACGAAGATGCTGTTGACAGACACGGATGCATCAGTTCGGCGGGCCTTTCTGGGCTCTGTGTCCAGCCTCTGTGTCTTTTTCGGCAACCTCAGAACAAACGAGGTTGTCCTTAGCCATTTGAATACTTACTTGAACGATCCGGACTGGATTTTGAAATGTGCATTTTTTGAGGCTGTCATAGGCGTCGCCGCCTATGTGGGGAGCCTGAACCTCGAGCTGTACATATTGCCGCTGATGGTTCAGTCCATGACTGAGCCTGAGGAATTCGTTGTTGAAAGAGTGATTCGATCTCTGGCAGCTATGGCAGACTTAGGCTTGTTTCAACGATCAACCACGTGGGATCTGCTAAACACGACTGTTGGATTTTTAGGGCATCCAAATATCTGGATTCGAGAGGCGGCAGTCAAGTTCGTGGTTAATTCCGCCAAGTTTTTATCAATAGCGGATGTTCATTCTATCCTGACACCCATTATCCGGCCTTTCCTCAAGATCAAAATTGTTGTGTTTTCGGATACCCAAATGCTCGACGCACTCAAGCGGCCAATGTCGAGAAGTGTGTACGAAATGGCCTTCCACTGGGCGTCGAAATCAGAGAAAGGTATTTTCTGGAAGTCGCCAAGTCGCGATGGCATGTTCGGCTTGTCCGAGCCTGGGTCATTCAGTCCTCGCGTGGGTCAACGGAATCCTTCCTTTAATATGGCTTCTCAATCAAAGAATGACGAGGACGAACAATGGCTTGGTCGGTTGCGAAACTTTGGGATGGGTCCCGAGGAGGAATTTAAGCTTCTTGCACTCAAAGACTACATTTGGAGGGTCTCCTTGCGGCAATCGAGAGAAACCGATGTCCATTCAACTGCGCCTTTGAACGACATTGTCAGTTTGACACAACATGGAGTCAAGCCCCAGACTGTGTTCTTTGATAAGGAAATTAAAGATCAGTCGCGAGCAATTTCCCTGGACGTAGACGGCCACGTCGACGATCCAAGACCGAGAACGATCGCAGATGCTTTGCTTGATGCTTCTACAACCATTGAGCGAATGCCCAGTGCTCACCGCAAGCACTTGCGGTCGAAAAGCCAACTATCGAAAGAGACAAGACGTACCTCGCATGTTCCTATCTTGGACGGAAATGACACTTCTTCATTGTCGTCGTCTCCAGTAGCGTCGTCGCCGGCCGGAGAACCTTCGTCTCGTCCACTGTCCCCTCCGAACCTTGATAAGGACCAACGGCTTTCCAGTCGCCGACCGGGTCCTGGACAAGACGGCCCATTGCCATCAACTAATGCAGACACCCGCAGTATATCCGATCGTGTACATAAAAAGTCTAGCGCGATGAGTTTGTTGAGTCGCAAAGACACCGCCAAAGCCTACGCTGAAACGGGCACAAGCTCCGCGAACGCCTTTGGAAAGGTAGACGCACCTGTCCAAAGAGGAGGCACACCCCGACCATTGACACCATTGCTCTCAACCGAGCACAAAACAACCCAAGTAATATCGCAAAAATATCGTGCGCACCATTCATATGGAGGCAACAACCCTACGGTTCTACGACTGCTAGACAATGTCTTCGAGGAAAACTACCCGACGGACCTATTTGACTTAGGGCCATATGTCAAAGAAGTCGACTCCCGCCAACCGATCCGCAGCGCCAGTGATCAAGAGCAAAGTAAGATCTGGAAGCCCGAAGGGAATCTGGTCGCGACTTTTGGCGAACACAGTGCCCCAATCAATCGTGTCGTGGTAGCACCAGATCACTCCTTCTTTGCTACCGCATCCGATGATAGCACGGTGAAGATTTGGGATACAACTCGTCTTGAAAGGAATTTAACCCCTCGATCCCGTCAAACTCACCGTCATGCAACGGGCTCACGTGTGAAGGCTTTGACCTTCGTTGAGAATACCTACACTTTTGTCAGTGCGGCCACCGATGGCAGCATTCATGCCGTTCGAGTCGACTACCAGAAAGTCAGTCAGACGGCCGTCCGATATGGCAAGCTTCAAATTGTTCGCGAATATCAGCTTCCTATAGCCGAAGACGGATCACCCGAATACGCGGTTTGGATGGACCACTTCCGTGATGAAGGGCAGTCCACCTTGATTATTGCGACCAACACTTGTCGCATCATTGCGTTGGACATGAAAACCATGCTTCCGATCTACACCCTGGGAAATCCAGTTCACCATGGAACTCTAACTACATTCTGTTGCGACCACAGGCACCACTGGCTACTGGTCGGCACAACTCATGGAATCCTCGACCTGTGGGATCTCCGGTTCCGCGTCCGGTTGAAGGCATGGGGTCTTCCGGGCTGGGGTGCCATTAACCAGATCCAGCTACATCCTGTCAAGGCCCGTGGACGCTGGGTTTGCGTATCCACTAGCGGCAGCCACGGTAATGAAATCACGGTGTGGGATATCGAGAAGTTCCGCTGTCGCGAGGTTTACCGAGCGACCCCACTGGGCGTTGGCAACAATGGCCCCAGTGGCACTCATCAAGGTTCCCGCGCCCCTCAAGCCTACCCGACGCCTGTCGTGCCGAGTGATTACGAGGCGTGGCGGGTCGATGGCGACAGGCCAGAAGGGATGCTGAGTCGCTTTGCAGCAAACGGCCCGGAACCGGGTACCTCATCTTCCAATAATCC